TTTCACTTGCTTGGAATATTTAAGCTTTGAAAGCTAACAAAATGTTGGCTTATTGAGACGCAGTACAAGCTATCTTAAACTTATAAACTGATAAAGAGTGAAACTGACAAATTTTCAGTGTCAGCACAGGCCAAAGCGAATTTTCACGTTTGAAATTTTTGATATGTTTTTTAATGCATTTCTTGGCTCAATCTTAAATGAAAATTAAATTGGAACATAGTTTCTTTCACTTGCTTGGAATATTTTTAAAAGCTTTGAATACCAACAAAACGTTGGCGTATTGAGACATGCATGTTAGCTGATGAGCTCCTTTTACCGCGACATTCATCTCTTGTAGTTTATTTTATATCCTGAATTATATTTCAGAAAAATACAAAGTGTTTTATGAACAGTTTAAATAATGGAATGCACTGAAAGGATATGTAATTTTTTCAAAAAATCATTTCACCAGCTGTAATCCAATTAAAATTGGAAAACATTAAGTCAATTTTCATTGTGCTTGACCTTTCATATGCAAATGATACTTCCATGTTTCGCTCCAAGGAATGTGTAAACAACATAAGTGTAAACATGCTCAAAACTAGCTTTTGACTTCTTGTATGCAAATGACAAAAAGGAATCCAGAATGCCTTGAGTTTTTCATTTGCTTGCCACGCTGACTCCACAGAACACACTTGCTTTTAAACGTGTTGCACATGACGTGCAAGAGTTACGTAATAGCTAATCAAGCACTTCCGGAAGAACACAACTGTCGCGCAGCACCTTCACATCAAAGTAAATTTTATTTCCACAATCTGATGACAAGTTATTGGTAAATTTATGCTGACAAATGGTTTTAATATTACAGGGAAGAGTTAATATTTAGTGAGGTTAATAATTTTTTTCTTGACGATTTTCTTTTTGAATTTTGTACTTTGAGTAGCCAGGTACTCTGTTCAAAGTAGATGGGTGCCGGTACCCGGGACCCAGCTTCCAATAAAAATCCTGCTGTTTTCACCAGATCGTGGGTGAAATTTTTGTAAATCTCATGTATTCTAGCAGAATCAACATTTTTCTCCTGATTCCACTGGTTTGATTTTTACTTGATTGTATCAGTCCTTGCTTCTTTACTATCTTGACTGAGAATGTGACTGCGACCCTTTCGTAAGTGAAAACCAACCAATACATTTGTGGCTGACAGTAAACTTACAGCATGGCCCAAACTAAGTCTTGCAGGTGTTATAATCAAACTAATATTTACTTACTTGGAGGAGAACTGCCCATCTGATCTCCTTCACTGCCAGACAGATCTTCTTGAGCAGGATCAGACATTATGGGACTGTCAATCAACAATCAATCATTCAATTAATCAATGAGTCATTCAATTAATGGACCAGCCCACCAATCAGGCAATCAACCAATCACTTGATTAAACATCAAACAGACAGTTAGCCAATCAGTTTCCTGCAGTTGCTATGATATAAGCTTCTTGTTTAATCAAGTCCTCTAATATAACTTTCAAAGAAAATCACATATGGTAGATGGTTTGAGGAACTGACATGCAAAATTATTTATTGATTAAAGTTCAGATTCATAATTCATTGTTTACTCAAATCTTCTTCGTCCACTCATGAAGAGCCGGGCTGAGCTTATATAACCTAACAGGACCACGCGACAATCATCAAATTTTTATATAAGAAATGACAAAGTTGTGTTCCTCCTGGCTAATCGTCTACAATTTATATCACTGCACAATACAAAAACAAACAAACTGCTTTACCACACATAATTTTATAGCAAATAAACCCTACCTTATTTGAGTGCTAATGACAAAAAATTTTCATCAACTCGGATAGAATGCAAGTCTCTGTACTGTACGTATCAGCGTGCGTGCATTATGTATAAATGTAAGATACAACTAGATGGTAGTGACTTGAATTTATAGTCGTGAACTTTACACAAGCAAAAAACATAAATTCAATTAAGATAGCAGGTTCCATCTTTCAAAAAAAGAAAAGTGCAAATTATAAATCAAGACTTCACCAATTTGTTATGTATAAGTGCTAAGCAGATCTACCTCTTGCTTTGAGAGCTGCCATGTTATTTTTCGAAAAAAGAGCTTCTTTGAGCGGAATTTTTCGGTTTTAGACTGGCACATTGTTAAAGTAAATGTTGCAGCTACTATAAAGGCTTACCTTCGAAAAGTTTAGATTTTTGTGAAGAAATTTTCGCCCGGTTTTTGCAAAGTAACCTTTGCGAACCACGAGGTGAAGAAATATCCTGCGCCAGCGATAAGCCAGCGCTAAAAATGGCGCAAAGAATACTGGGGACGAGTGTTGTGGGCGGACAGCGGGATTTAACCCGCGGGAGATTACGACTGGAAGAAATATTTAATTTTTTGTGCAACGGAGAAATTCAGCATACTTAATTTAAGGAATATTTTTAGACGACGGAAAATGACCTGTTGAAGAAAGTAATAGAGTGAAGAAATATGTAGTTTGTTTCGTGACTTCGCCTACGCTCACACTTGGGTGAGCAGGGTGCACCTCTTATTATAGTCTGAAGTGTTTCACAATGAACGTCACCGATGTCGATGAATCACTGGGACTGGGGGGGAGCCATGGGCCCAAACAGATAAAGCTGGGGCCAAGGTGATTTTAGCTACTAACCAGAACAGTAACAACCTTTGGAACTTTGTTCAGGATTTCAACCCCTGGAACAAATATATGATGAAACTCACCTGATTGTCAGCATCTGTTTAAGCTTAACTCGTGAGGATCTTCTTGTTTCACGTATACTAGACAAGCATTTGCCTGTCCATCCCTTCCCTTCCTTATCCTCTCTCTTTCACACTCATGCATTTCATTATCCGGGTCATCTGATTTGCAGAAGCCAATGAGAAAGGTCGTTCTAAGCTAAATTGTGGAACAACATCCATAGGTTGTCGTATGCCTGTTGACATCGGCTGTCTTTGCATTTCGTTGTCAGTAGAAAGAGGTAAGCCTTTGATTTTTACTTGTTTTGAGTTTGTGATGTAGTTTCTCAAAGGCATGGTGCAGTTCTGAGCCCTAAACCAATGGGTAAATAATTGAAACTATGCTGTAGCGCGCGTTTGCAGGTGTGAAAGGTTTGTCTCTAACTAAGCATGATGGATTAAATTTGAGATCAGCTATGGACTTCGTCTTCAGCAGACGGGGAAATGCACGAGTATTTACTCACTTCATTTGGAGAGAGATATTAGTGTTAAGATCCGAGGATGTCAAGTTAAAAGACGATGTAGTCGAGAAACGATTCTGAGCGCTCCCTTGCAAACATATATTAAATTTAGTTTCGTCTTTATATCAACTGCATAAGTATGGATTACAGCTGTCGTTAATAGTTGTCGCTGTTCTTCTTTTTTAAAGCTGGCTAATGCGCGGAGAATGCATTTTTTGTTTTGTCTTCTTTCTGTTTTTTTCTAAAAATATTTCGATAGAGACAGTTTTGTGTAACCGACGTTTTGTGAGTCACACCTACGCTGCCTCTTCGCTCTTCAGGTTGTCAACAATCACTGAAATTAACTGACCCGTCATGTACATTGTCTGTCGCCAAAAGATTACTAGATTAATATACTACGAATGGATACTCAAATTCTAACTTTTTTTTTTTATCTCGGTAAGAGAAAACTAACAATTTTAGATTATAATAACCAGGGTACTCGGTAAGATTAAAGAAATTTACTAGACTTCTTGTCTGTGGTATGCTAATTACCAGTACGCGTCAATATCTTGTGTATTGCTAAAGTCCTATTTCCGTCGATGGGCTCATAAACAGGTCGAATTAACGGCTTTACAACCGCAGAAAAAACAAAGATCTCAACTTTGATTAAAAAATAACTAAACTCGAAAATATAGCGATGGATGTGATTACTGTATGTTTAAAACTATTTTCCTATGTCAGTCGTCAAGAACAAGTGCGGTGAGGAAAATTCTGGCAAATTCAAATGCACATGGAATGTTTATCTGTGTTATTTTTGCAGATATTGACCATCTTAATCAACTGAATTGGAATGAATTGAATTTTGTAAACAAAATAATATGCGATAGACTACAAATGTTTTAGCTTGGCGACATACATATCATTTTCTTTTATAACATAGCTAGTAAATTTGTCTAATCAAATTCAATTGCGCAGGCGTGCTTCATATTCCTATTGTGCATGCTCATGACGTCAGCAAACATATTTCTGGAGAAAAAAATTTTCCATCGGGTTGAAAATGTTATAAAACAATTGGTTCATATGTCAGCTGTGTGTTTATCAAGATAGGAAGCACTTGGGAAGTTTGAGAGCACTCACAAAGCTAGAGTTCCTCTCGGCTACGCCTCCATCTTGTAATCACTGTCAAATTTTTCGCACAAATGATCGCCCAAATCATGTAAAAGTGGTTTTTTGTCATTCTGTTTTGTGCTTTCAGCACTTCACTTGTCAATCTAGTTTACTAGCTAACATCACTCAACAACATTCCTAACTGTGATTAGTTTGTTGTGTGCATATACCCCCTTAAATGTTTTGTGTAAGACAAATTATTGTTTTGGCTTTAAGTCTGGGAAGTGGCAGTTAAACTGCTTTTCTTCAGAAAGACAAGAGCTATGTAATATATGTTTCACTTTTCTCTGACTGTTTAATGCTCTTCACTGACTATCAAACATTGATAATAGTTGCATATTTTCCCAAGAATATTGGTTTTAAATCAGAACTAACAGAGTTATATTTTTATCAATTTTCAGCTTGTTAGTACATGATTTTGGTGAGAAAATATCCTTTAATGAATCCTACAAGTGAAGGACTGAGAAAAGAATGCAAATAAATTAAGGAAACATTTTTTGTGGGTGAAAGTTGTTTCTAGAGCTTGGGTGGGGTTGCTAACCAACAAAATATACAGACAACAATGCCTTATTTAGGCTTCAATATCAATTTGAGAAATGGTTACTTAGAGTTTTCTAGTCAGGGTGTGAACAATATTGATTTGTGAGTGGCAACAAGCAGTCAAATATTTATCTCTATATAAATAGTTATAAATGTGAATTCTGCACAGGTTTCTGACTGATTTTCTTTATTTCAGAAACAAACAAGAACATGGGCGTAGAAGGAGGTGCTAAAATCCTCAAATTTTTGGTTTTCTTTTTCAATTTCATCTTCTTTGTAAGTATAAAGCTATTGTTGTCTTAAAATTGGCAAAATTTGATTGGATCATTAATGTTGTTTCACCTGGGTGTATGTTGTTTGAGTGTTTCACCTGAGTGTATGGTGTTTGAGTGTTTCACCTGAGTGTATGGTGTTTGAGTTGGAGCCAGTAGTGAGCACTGTGAGGAATCTAACACCAAGTTTTCAAAGAATTTTTTATTTCAGTTTGTGTTTATTTCTTCTATGGGCTCACTTTAATTATAATGATTATTTCTCTCAATTGGAATTTTTACTCATCTTCATGTGTCTTTATTTTGTGCTTTTTTCTTATAGCTTAAAAAAACATTTTCAAATTAAGTCTGTGAAAGAGTTATGATAAGTACACCTGTAGAGAGGACATTGGGACTTAATTAGGAAAATTGCTAAAACCTGGAAACAAATTTTCAATTTTAGATATGCAGATTATGAGACTAGTATATCCTGAAAACCAAACATCCACAGAGGTTCATGTGATTGAACTAGAGAACTGACAAAAACCCACAGCCATTTTAGAAAATTAACATACCCTTCAACTCCCAAGACCTGATTGTTAATTCTCCCCTGAGCTGCTACACACTTTGTTGTAAACTAGTTAAAAGAATTTGATGTCAGATCAAGATAACAACTTCTATCTTTTATGTTTTGAGTATTCTCATATATAACCTGTTTGCTGAATAATGTACAGGTAATGTATGTATAGGGAGAAGTTACTTGTTAATCACTTGAGGAAGTTAGATGGTCAAACTCAGACCTTTGATGGTTAAAGTGTATGTCCTCTAGATCTCATAAAACAGTGAAAAGATGTTTATAAAATTGTTTACTTTATCCCCTCACAGATTTTTGGCTGTGTGCTTGTTGGCATTGGAGCTTGGGTTCTGGTTGACTCTGGTGACTATGTGACATTGACCAAGGCAGTGCCTTATGCAACTGGACCTAGGGTTTTGATTGCGGCAGGTGCACTCGTTGCAATTGTGGCATTCCTTGGGTGCTGTGGAGCCTGGAAAGAGAACCGCTGCATGCTGGTCATTGTAAGTGATTAGCAAGTAAATTCCCACACCACAAAATTATAAATCAATTAATAGTATAAATACAGGCAAAGCCCAATTATTACTAGCTACAACTTTCCAAAGTTTCTTGTTCAGATGCTGCAGAATTATGTTGTAAAGAAACTTTGAATAAACAGTAATTACCATCTTGTGTTTTTGGATCTGTAAGGCTGCACCATTGTATTCCCTTTTGTTTTGATCAGAATTATAAATTTTTTCATTTCTTTTAAATTGACTGTCTTTTGTGGGGATGGTCATCTGTTATGACCTGATGATCTTTTGTCGATGATGTTGGGTTACAACATCAAAGGTGAAATAGAAAGTTGATATAAATGTTTGTGAGTGGGAGATCATTTTTCTTTGAGGTGACTGTGTTTTATTTAGGAAATTGTAGGGTAGGCAAGGAACAGGGGTGGTATAGAGAGAAACACACTTGCCTTGCACCTCTGTGGTCCAAAGCTTGATGTTACCTGGTTGCATGTGGTCTCAATTTGATTTAATTTACTTCTTGTCCTGGCTTTGAATAAAGCTCCTTAGATTTTCCTCCCTCCAGAAACAAACAAAACTTCAATTTTGATCCAAACAGGAATCAGTGAATGAATTTGATGATTAAAAGCTAACTTGTAGCCTTTAAATTATTGCTATGATATGTTTTTGTTAGACTGTCCAAAAAAGTAGATGTTTGTGGACCTAGATATAGGGATTTATCGATGTTTGTTTTATTGATATCGTGGGCATGGTTGTGGTAATAATAGAAGTGGTGAGAGGGTCAATGATGATACAGTGATATTGACAATGATGGTGATAAAATCAAAACTGCATTAGTTTGACAAATATTAAAAAAAATTTTCCCTTGCAGTTCTTTATTCTCCTTCTTGTGATCCTGTCCTTGGAGATTGCTGCAGGAGTATTGGGATATAAGAATCGTGACAAGGTGTGTTTTACCCAAGAAACATTGTGTTTTACAGGCAGTAAATGAGCTTTGTTTCATTTTCATTTCATTTTAAAAAAAACTTTTTCCTAGGTTGAGAACAGTCTAGACGAAGATTTTTTGGAGGAACTCCGACAGCATTACAATGAAGGTGGAAGTGAAGGAGCTACCAAGGGAATTGATACACTGCAGGAAAAGGCTAGTAATTTACGTGAATTTGGTAGTGCTCTTCTTTTTGTTTAAAAAGTTGTCTGCATGGTAGTGAAATGAATTTTGGTCTGAATGGTTTTAAGCTACATGTAATTTGATTTGTATCTTCCTTTATCCAGATCATGATTCTTAAAAAGAGAAACCCATGAATGAACCCAGGTTCTTTGTAAAAAGGAGGAGTTTGTACCCACAAATCTGCTTAATTATTTGACCTACCAGAAAGGGTTAATTTCGGCATTTCTGGGGCATATCTTTTGAAGAAATCATTTTGAAGAATCTAACAAGATCTCATAGAGGGCCCTTTGTGGTCATTGCAATTTTCATTTTGGCATTGTTTGTAAAATGTATTCAAAGAATCTAACAAGATATCTTAGAGGACTCTTTGTGGCCATTGTCATTTTCACCTGGATGCCACTATAGTATTCAACATCTGGCGTATGTTTTTGTGCATATCTCTGGTCAAAATTTGGAAATCTGAACTATAAATTCAGAGTATTCAGAAGACCTTGCTCAGGATGGGGATGGCACTTTTCTTGTACAGTGCCTCTCTCCACCCGGGAGTATGGATGGGTTCCCATCCCCCCTCCCCCCCCAGTCAGCCCTTAGGGAAACCTGATGAAATGCTGGGTTGCACTTTCTACTTGAAAAGCATTTCATCCAATAAAAAAAGGGGGGAATAAAAAAAAGGGGGGTGACAATGCTTCTGTCAGCTCAATGTTTCTCAAACTGGCTCTAATCTGTGGGCCTCTAGGCTTGCAGGTAGACTAATTTTTTTTTATATTAAGATGCATTTTGAGTTGAAATAATAACTCTAATGAAATTGCCTTAACAGTGAATCAGACTAAGCTGTTAGGTACCTTTTTCAAGGAGCCCATATATTAACAATTCAAAGTGAGCTACAAAATCTCAGATAGTGAAAGGAAAAGAGAGTGACCACTTCACTCTGGTTTTGGTGTTGTCTATCAGTTGTTGATAATATGAGTTTTCCTGAAGTAAAACGAAATCAGAGTAATCCCAGAATACTCATAATGCAACATTAAATGGAAATTTTTGTCCCTAATCCTTAAGCTTTCCTTTCAATGTAAACATTTTGCAATGAATTCTTTTTTCCTTGTTGTTTCTATAGGAGAAGTGTTGTGGCTGGTATAACTACACAGACTGGTACCAGTCAAAGTTTGGAGGGCCGACCAACAGAGTTCCAGACAGTTGCTGCAAAGAAGTTGTTAAAGATTGTGGAACCAAAAAGGATATTTCCCTTTGGTATCAAGGGGTGAGCATGTGACTTTCACGCACACATTTAAAGTCTTCTAGTAATGATAATAACAAGCCTTGTAGCCTGCAGTGTTTGGGCAACATTGTTCTTGTTGCCACTGCATAAGTAAGCAGGAACTTGGTGCCCCCCTGAATTGGATGTTAGACCATCACTCACTCATAAATGCAACATCACTCATCAGAGGGGTAACCAGGATAATGATGCCCAGTTGGGGGGGCTCATGTGCAAACCTTTGGGTGGAGAGTCAAGCATGCCACTCATCAAGTCATGCAACACTGATCTGTTTAACCTATTAAACAGACATTGATTTGACTAATTATTTAAATGCTGTCAAAGATTGTGAGATATGCTGGGCCTGTTGTATTGTCATCACAGGGTTGCAAGACGAAGCTGGAGGACTTGCTCAAAAGCAAGTTGAAATATGTGGGCGCCATTGCTGTTGCTATTATTGTCATCCAGGTAAAATGAAATGAAATGTACTCTGGTATTTACTAAAGACTGTATGATTTTATTTAAGGATGAGTCTCTGATACCATAGAAATCAGTCAGTATTAGTCAGCTGTTAAGTTTCATAGCAACAGAGAAGGTTTCAAGAATGATTTTTGTGGTGTATTACAATTTCAACATCTTAGACAGAGGTCACCATCAGAGTTTGGTTTAGAGTTGTTGATCACATAGAAATTTTTGCTTAGAGTTAGATGTAGAATTATGAAACTGATCAATCAATCTGTGAAACTCAAAGGTAGTGTTGCCCATTTAAGTTATGCACTGTTGCAAGTCACTGGGTGCTGCTGACATTTGTAAAGAGGAAGCTCTTTGGACTTTGTTAAGCAGCTTTCCAGAGTCGCTGTAGAGTAATTATGTATTATGATTCAAACATTGCATAGAGTTTCTTTAGTCAACCATATACACCCTAGCATTGGTATGAAAGTTCTCTATACTGTTCTCTGTGCATTTCCTATGATACTTACAAGGATAATTTGTCTAACAATCAAGAGCTTCTAAAGTTTGTAATCCTCTCTTCTATTCCTATGACCTTAATGTTTGATTCAGGTGTTATCCCTTTAACTCCCTTAAGTGACCAAGACATAATTTCTCCCTACAGTATCAATACAATATCAACCAGATAAGTGATGAGAACAAAGAAAAATATCAATTTGGGGATAATTAGTTGATCCAATACTAAATTCTCTGAACTAGCATTATAAGAATTGTGTGGTTGACAGTAAGGAGAATGACAAATTTGATCTGGGAGTTAAAGAGGGGAAATGAGATGCTTATCAGTCTTAGGGGTTAAAGGGTTAATCATATGAAATGTCACTATTTGAGTTAAATTCTACATTTGTTGTTCATTTTTCATTGACCAATATTTTCTTTATACAGCTCCTTGGGATGATATTTGCTGCTGTTTTGATCTGCAAGATTGGTGATGGAACAACTTATGCCTAAAACTCACAATCGTGTTAATCTTCTCTTTAAAGATGCAAAATGCAGTCCTTTGTTTGGACATAACCATTATGTAAACCAGACATGTGCTGAAAATTTCTTTATCTGACTTTTTGTATTTAACAGGCTAGGGTTTAATGTTAGAGTCATTTTCGTATAACAGTTTTCATAATTTGACGGTTTTCTTGGTTTGTCTCAAATAAAAAAAGTTTGTTTTAAAAATTTGATTTGTTAGTTCTTATTTTTGTATTTTGATTTGTTTTTGTTTTAGTTTGGTCAGTAAGATAGGCTACTTCATTTTTTGTTTGTTGTTTCAATGTGTCCTGATCAAGAGCAGGTCTCTATTTATAAAAGAACCTTGCACTCTCTCTATATGACTTTTAATTAACTGTGTGACTTTGCAATGTATCTTACATGTCTACACAAGCTGTGGTAAATATTTGCATCTGAAGAATATTTTTTAGTTACAGCTTTACATTTCACAATTGCTTGTCTAAGGATTCAGTTTCTTCACCTTGAAGTTCATGGCATCATCACTTCAGGAGATCAATTTAAATATTCTGATGGCTATGAGCTTGTAAGAGTTGAATAGGTTTCCTGGTACTTGTGGTCAGAAGGTTATTTTTTTGTCAGTGCAAAAAGCAGCTGGTTGATATCATGCATCTAGGTGTCCATACCATATTGCCTCAAATAAGCACCAACACTCCAATAAGTGCCCTTCCCTGAATAAGCCCCCACCCTCACTCCCTTGGCTATAATATCAAACAAGTACCTCCCCCTCCCCCACTTGCTTAAATAGTAGGGCTGAAAGGAAAACCACTTTAATTAAAACTTTTTAAGCTTCAACTATTTTGGAATTAACACAACCTCACCTCTCCTTGATAGTATTCCCTCTTCCCATCTCAGCCAAAATTTTTATTAAGTACCCAGGCTGTTCTTCTGGTCAATATGGTATTTAGAAACATTACTGCATTTACACTGACAAAAAAAATTCTGATGAAAAGTTTCTCTTTAAAGGGACATATTTTGTAATGTTAGAGGAGAAAGGGTATATAATCATCTAATCCCTAGTCAGTTCACAGACTGTTATATACAGTAGCAATAGTCCAGTGGCTAGAGGTAATAAATTTGTATCTTGACATTAAATTGCTGTAATAAACTTGAGTGAGAAGGCCTTTAGGCCTCATTGGACAAAAAGGACTGTGTTTACTTTAAACTAGAATATCATCACAAAATTGATATTCCATTTTTGCAAATTATCAAGTTGTCAATAATGAAGGGTTTTATGGTTCCTTTACCCACAGTACCCATTACCTCTTTATCTCTCACAGGTGATTAAAATGTAACTTCTATTAATAATTGTCCATAATCAAGTAAACAGATGAGAATACTCAAGCTTATCAGATAGAAGTTGTTATCTTAATCTAACACCAAATTCTCATAACTGATTTAAAATGAAATGTGTAGCAGCTGCTGTGGAGAATTAACAATACGATCTAGGGAGGTGAAGAGCCAAAACAAACTTATTTTCACTATGGATTTATCATCTCTTTATACTGTCATTCCCACTGACGAAGGTCTCCGGGCCCTCAAACATTTTTTCGATCATCGCACTGTTAAGGAACCTAGCTCTGAAACACTACTCTGTCTGGCCGAACTAGTACTCACATTCAATTGCTTTTCATTCGGTGGTAACTACTACAAACAAACTAATGGCGTGGCCATGGGTACTAAAATGGGGCCCAGCTACGCCAGTCTTTTTGTAGGTTTTATCGAACATCAATTTTTTAGTCAATACCATGGCCCAAAACCTGAACTCTACGGCCGTTACATTGACGATTGCCTCGGCGCTTCCTCCTCTACCAAGGAGAAGCTCACTCAATTTATAACCGCCGTCAATTCCTTTCACCCGGCTCTTAAATATACCTGGGAAATTTCCGACACTTCTTTGGCTTTTCTAGACATCAAAATTTCAATTGAAGGCAACGGTTTATGCACTAGTGTTTACTACAAACCTACAGATTCACATAGTTACTTGTTGTATTCATCTTCACATCCATCACACGTCAAGAACTCCACACCTTTTTCACAGTTTCTCAGACTTCGTCGTTTATGTAGTGACGACTCTGATTTTTCCGAAAAATCAGAGGCAATGTGCCAGTTTTTCGATAAACGTGGCTATCCTGTTTCTGTCGTTCAAGCAGGCCACCGCCGTGCCCAACAAATTGATCGATAGTCAGCACTACAAACGGCTGAGAAGGAAAACACTGACCGCATTCCATTTACTCCAGTACATTTCACCCTCAAAACCACTCAGTTAAATCTATCATTCTTAAAAATTTTAAATTACTACAAAACGATTCAGAGACTGGCACTATCTTTTCGCAACCCCCACTTATTTCCTTCAAACGTGACGAAAACGTAGGCAACTTTTTAGTCAGGACATCATTTCAAACCAATGACCAATCTGGAACTTTCAAATGCGCTCGCTCACGATGCAAAACTTGTTCTTTCATTCATAACGTAGAGAAAATATCGGGATCCAAGAGATCCATTAAGATCACTGGTCACTTTACGTGTACCTCCGCCAATGTTATTTACTGCATAACTTGCACTTATTGCAATAAGTTATACATCGGCGACACAGGAAGACGACTAGGTGACCGATTCCGAGAACACCTTCGCGACGTGGAAAGAAATGACAAGAACACATCCAAACTAGTCGCTAAACACTTTAATCTCCCTTACATCTAGGCAGTTCGGAAAGCCGTAAAACACTAGAACAAAAATTTATCTTCCAAATCAGAACCCTAAATCCCCACGGAATAAACGAGCGCTTTTCATTCAACTAATTTATTCCTGTTTTAAGCTGCTTCGCTTCGCTTCGCGTCGTGGTTTCCTACGCTCATCTCGTGTTCTCCCAACCTCCCGCGTGTTTACATCAGGCTATGTAACCTACGGGCTCGTACAATTTTGTTAGTCTTTTAAAAAAAATTTATTCGTGCTTATTTATTCCAAATTGCGGTCGAAATCATGTGATTACCTGTACAAAATAACACATAATTTTCAAGCCTTGCAAACGCACCTTAAAACCAAGAGAAGGCGTTTTTTTAGGTTGCAACAGACGAATTTAAGATTTTCCAGTTTCAGACTTAAGCTGGTCGGTTAAAAAGAGTAAATATTGCTGTTGAGCTGGTGTTGGATGCATCTATACGAATACACTTTGCATCGTATGTATTGTGCTATCCTCATGACCTATTGTATTCGGGTTTATAATGGTAAGGGCACTACAGCTTAAAGTAAAATCACTGTCAGTTTCCAGATACGCAACACCAACCCTTACATAGCTTTTTATTCGTGATAGATGGCAGTATAACTTCAGAAATTAATGACTTTTTCACTGAGTCAGAAGGAGAAAATAATTTGTTGGTCCAGCATCTCTCATTGGACCAGTACCACAACCTTTTCCCTCGCGATCACCACCTTAATAAGCTGTTTCAAAATTGATTCCTTTACTAACGTCTTTTGTCGTAAATTCGAACAGTTTCGTCAAGAGAAATAATGCAACTAATTCGATTTAACATCGGTAAACCCCAGAAACTCTGTAAATGTCTCCCAAATAGGATGGCCATGAACCCCTCCTACAAGAACCCTCAAGTTGCTAGTTTTAGTTTTCAGCGCCATTTCTTTGGTAAGTGATGCTCATCTGCTCGTCCCTATGTCTATTTCCCTACCCTACCCCCTGTAAAACGGACCATACACAGGATTCTGTTTTAAAAGTATATTTTGGTAACGTAAGATTTTTATCAGAATTCTGGTCATCGGGTATGTACTTATCTGTGATTTTCTTATTTCAGGACATATGTTGTGGATGTTACAATTACTCGGACTGGAGAACTAAAGGGAAACGTCTCTTCATATTAAAATTCCCTGTTAACCAAGTCAGTTTAATTAAAACTGTTTGTTTCTTAATTATTATTTTTTCAATCCTCTTCGGTGATTCATATACAGACCGCGACTCTTGTAGCTTCTAGATGACTCCGTGCATGTTACGGGATATTCTATCAGGATTTTACTGCAGTGTGTTTAGTTTCAAACTTTTTAATTTATCTTCCTATAACAATGTCTTTCCGGTTTAATATCTTTTCAGGGATATTACTGGGTTTTTCCTGTATAAGGTGATCAGAAGAAACCTTTACATTGTAGCTGCCACTGCCACTGCTGTTGCTACAGTCGTGTTCAAAGTAATAGAAAGCAAACATATCATGCCATAACTATTTATGATTCATCAAATACTTTCTCTCGCGCGTGATTAGTTTAAACGCATCACGTGACCGAATATCCCCAGCTAAAACTAGGGGATATCCGAGGATATCACCCAAGTGAAAATATTTGCAGGTTAATAAACAAAATAGCCTCTATTTTGCGTGAAAACATAGTCGTTTTATTTTTCCTTGGAAATTATCTGTTACTCGAAGCTCACAGTTTCACTGTTCGCATCTTGGAACAGATAATGTCCGCGGGAAAAATATTCGTGCATATTTTCTCGCCAAATAGAGGCTATTTTTTTAAAACTACAACTATGAGTGCTTTTCTTGGCTTCTTCAGTTTCTAGATTTTCGGTTAACTTTTCCTCGACCAAATCTCACTCAAAAAAAGCTCGATTGTCGATTCAATTTTCATGAACAGAAGTAAACTCAAAGTCTCACGTCACTGAGATAGATTGATAAGATTTAGTGTGTGAACTGATGAAAAATAGTCATTCTAGTACCGTATGATCTACCGGAATAACACCATAATTTTTGTCTTTCCTTTCTTTTTTGGCAAGGTCGTGACTATACTGTGTGTTCTAGCACTGAAGAGTGAATTTCTTGTGGTTACACCATACAACGACACACTTGTTTGCTTTTCAATTTTGTATATTTATGTATTTCATAGAAGAGGCGTTTTATAATGTAATAAATACGATCAGTAGACCAGCTTTCACGATGTGAATCTTCTACTCAGGTTCGTAAAATAACTAAGAGCACATTGACTCCAAGGTTTTTTAGAAATCAGTAAAACATTTGGGCAAAACATTTCATATCATTTCAGACACTCTCTTACCCACACCCTCTATGGCTAAGCTTTGTGGTTGTCATCTACGGTTACACGGCAGGATCTGGGTACAAGATTATGCTCCAGATAGACTATTTTTCCATTGGCCATTTCTTAAGTACATGAATGCTTGAAATTCCAAACTTTCAATGAATCATTATGACTATGAATCTAAGAGTTTGTCTTACCTCTTTCGAGAATTTAGAGGACAAAAACGACGAGAAACGTGAACAAGACAACATCTGAATACCCGGTTTCTGTAATCGTTTTATAATCACTGTTTGGTTGCTTCTAAAGAATTGATCCTAGCCAAAAATAATCAAAGAATGATTTATCTTGGGATTCAATCACTTAGTAACAATCGTGGTTTGCTGTACACCACTAACTTTTCCCACTCCCCTTCCTCATAAGTTACTAATGGTCTGTCCCATATTTTATATTTTTTCGACGGTTATGCTCTGAGGCAATAGTGCTATTAACTGACTCGATTTTAGTTCTACTCTCTGATTTTTTTAATCAATCTCCACCCGAAATTTAAAATTCTAATGCTCTGGAAATAACCTCCTGGTTTTCTCAGACTCTAAACAAACAGACGTCGACTTGAACTAAGTTAACTCAAAGGTACAAATTCCTTAAATACAGTTGAGAGATCTTTCCATAAGTTTCTTATCTTTTCTCACTTCAGTTTACTTCCTTGATCTTTTATTTCCTAACCTGGGGAATATCGACAGACTCAGATTTATCATAATAAGAATAACATGGAAATGGTTTGTCAATCATCGGAAAAAGATAAAGACTGTCATTCTGTAATCACGCCTTGAGTTTCTGTTTGCTATTATGTTCTCGTCTTCTCAGTACCTGCAAAAGGTTTGATGTCTCTCGTTTTATTAGAATTTAGACAGCGTATTATACATAAAATGCCACACTATCTTGCTTTGCGTGTAGCTTAACATTTTCTGGAAACCTTGGGAGTTGAAGACACTGCTCTGTCCCATCCAACCTAGGACGAGGAAGTCTTTGCCAATCACCGTTGACACAGATAAGAAAAAACACTGACGGTAGACGCTAGGCGTTGGTAGCTCTTTCACTTATTCTTCCTC